ATTCTCCATTCCTTTTTCCTATCCCACAACATTAGTCCTGGACTGGGGTGAGAGAAAGAGAGAAAGAGTCCCACTCTTAAATTCTAAGCTCCCAGGTTAATGTGACCAAGTGGGTGCTTTGAGAAAATCTGTGTGGCTTGCTTGTGATAGGCAGAAAAGCACATTCTTATCCTCTCAATGTTTCCGCGAGGCAGGGACAGTTACTCCCCTCCCATTGTAATACTAATAACTAGTATTTAGTGAATTTGTACTATGGTACTAAACAATATGCTAAGCTTTGTACATGAATTATTGCACACAGTTCTCACAATAACACTGAAAGGTAGTCACTATCATTGTCCCTAATAAAATAGATGAGGAAAATGAGGCTTACAAAAGGGAAATTAATTTGACCAGTCACAGAACTGTTTGCTCGTTCTGTTGGACTGAAATTTCTTTTTGAGAATCTATGAATATCTCTTGGGGTAGAAATTTCACAATATTTGAGGGCAGGTTTCATTTTTTGAAAAAGCCATAACTGGCAGGATCAAGGGTAGGAGATAGGGCTGAGAAATGCCGTGTTTGGGCAAATAGCAGGTGTGGTCACAGGTAACGGGGCTCATTTCCTCATGTGGGTCAGAAAGCAATTCCCAAGAAGATCCCAGAGGTTTTAGCCGTGAGGCCCATTTATAATTGTTCATGACTTCTGAATGGTGTTCAGTGCATATAATGTTTAGAATAGGGATAGGATTTAGAGGTTATATAATTCAGTCATCATGTTTTATAGAGTGAGTTCTGCTTAAGAGCCCCCAAAATCCAGGTTATTAGCATGAGAGAGGCTTCTTTCTGTCCATGGTGCAGGCCAAACTCCATCTTGTTTTAAAAACTCTACTTTAGGCTGCTTTACTTCTACTTATCATTAACTTTAAGAGAAGCAGCTCATTGCTATTGTTTTTGGACATGTTTGCTTGAGAAGTGGTATAGTTTGAACTAGATAAAAAGACAGAATTGTTTTCATGGCAAGCTGTAGCAGCAAAGATTGCAATAACAATTGTTCAGGGAATTTTCCAGGAAAGGATCTTGCAAATGTTTGTAAAAGCTAAGAGACTATATTAGAAAATAGTATATCTTTTAGTCAAAACATCAGTCAGTTATTACTATATGAGGGTACTCTAAAACTGAGGTGCTTAGTATGATTAAAGATGACTGTCTTAGGTCTAAATCAAAGCTCCATTGTGGAATTAAACTTGTACAAATCCCTTCTCTCGGCTTTCCTGAGGATAATGCTTGCGATTTAGAGTAGCAACTTCAGGGGAACTTTAGCCACCCTCAGCAAACGAGAGCGGGGACAAGAACATGGTTTGTGAAGAAATGTTTGTCCATAAATGTCTTTCAAGGCGGTCTCAGAAGAATATCTTCACAGTAGTCCTCAGGAATAATGTATACATAACTTACTAGTTGGCTCCAAGAAATCTATGTTAGAAAATAAATCAGCTAAGCTTGTAAAATTTCAACTTGATATTGTCTTGTAACCATGTATAACCCCAAGCCCCCATGATTGTAGTCATGTACTCCCTTCCCCACTTTTCTGTATAAATAGCTCACCTCCCCCTCAGAATGTCAGAGTCCTTGGTAAACTCTCACCAATTGTTGCCCGATCTGAATCATTCTTTTCCTTCAATAAACTCTTTGTTTGAATTTTAACAGAGACTCGGCTGTGCTCTTTGACGATTCAAAGAGGTTATGTGAATTAGACATGGCTACCCACCTAGTGATAGAACAGGAACTGGCTAAAGCTTGTGTCCTCCCCAGGTTCCCTCTGCGCCCACTCTAGAAACACATAAATTTTCTTTCTGGGAAAGATGAGTATGAAATAGGAGAGTAGATATCTCTGTAAGAGCAGCTCACATTACTCCACAGGGTAGGGACAGTTTGGCTTAACTTTCGGATATTGCTTTTCCTTCTAGAAGATACATGAAAGCTTTGAAGGTAAAGGTCCTGTGCCTATGAGTGAACTTTACTTCAACTCTGAAGGGCAGTTATTGCTCTGGCCTGCATGTTCCAGATGAAACAACAGATGTACAAGAGGAAAAGTGAATTGTCTAAAGTCACTTCCTGCAGAAGAAGTCATTTCCCAGGATCCCTCATAACTAATCTTGGTCACTCCATGCTTGCTTGGTCAGGCTACGGTTCTCATCGAGTTTAATATAGTGAGAGTTAAAAAGCAGAATTAGAAGTCAGAGAGACTTGGGTTCAGCTTTGAACTCTGCTATTTTCTATTGCATGACTTTGCAGATTATTTAATCTTTTTGTGCCTCAGTTTCCTAATATGTAAAATGGGTATCATCTCAAATGTTTGTTCTGAGGATTATGTAAGTAACATGCAAATGGTTAAGTGCTTGGTTGCTAACAGAAAGGTTGGTGGTTAGAATCCACCCAGAGGTGCCTTGGGAGAAAGGTCTGGCAATGTAGTCCCAAAAGATCACAGCCATTGAAAATACAATGTATATTTCTACTCTGAAACATATGGGGTCCCTATGTGTCAGAAGTGACTTGAGGGCAACTGGTTTGGTTTGGTATTTATTTATTTATTTATTAAATACCAAACCAAAAAACCAAACCCATTGCCATCAAGTCAAATTCTGATTCATAGCGACCCTATAGGACAAGTAGAACTGCCCCATGGGGTTTCCTAGGCTGTAATCTTTATGGAAACAGACTGTCACATCTTTATCCTCCAGAGTGGCTGGTGGGTTCAAACGGCGACCTTTCTGTTAGCAGCTGAGTGCTTTAACCACTGAGTCACCAGGACTTCTTGTACTTATTACCAAAAACCAAAATCAAACTTGTGGCCATTGATTCAATTCTGACTCATAGTGACAGTAGGGGATAAATAGTAAGCCTTCAATAAATGGTAATGTTAAATATAATAGAGTTGTATTAGATACTAGCTTTCTCAAACCTTATCCCATTTCCCTAATCTGGATAGAGTAGTTGCTCTATGTGTTGCATGTCACACTTCTTTGGCCTACCTTTTTCTTCACCTACAGCTGTGACAGACACTTTTGTTCATGTTGCCTATTTCACATCAAGTGTGTACCTCTCCTCTCTGTTTTTCTGCCTTAGGACTTTCTCCAAAGCCATAGCAGCAGACACACCTTGAAAGTGCAGATGAGTTAGAGCCCCGGGGCAAGCTCCAGTCAAAGTTAATGGGTAAATGCCCTAGCCTACCTTTTCGGTAGACATTCCCTGGGACATTCTGTATAGTACAGAAGTCCTGGCAGAGTCAAAAGCCCATTGTTCACAGCAATGACCTCTCTAAATTTGAGGTTATAGCATTTATAAATGTAAATTGGCATAACACTTAGCAAAATTTAAAATAAAACTTTATTGCATCTTATACCTAAGTTAAGACTCAGACAATATCAAGTGATGTACACTAAAAATGTTGCACAGATACAGAATACACTAAGAAAAAGGAAAACATGATTAAGGAGTTGTAAGAGACAAATAGACAAAAAAAAAATTCTCCCTTTTTCTGAAAAGAAGCAGGTGGTAAAACTGTAAAAGGTGACTGTAAAACATGAAGAGTAACCTAGATTTATTGCTCACAGCAAGGACAGGGTTATCTTTCAGCACAAATACAAACATATCCATTTTACTACACAGCAGGGAGAAAACAGGATTTGCACAGATTGAGGAAATATGTATTTGGTTATGGAATTTAATTTTAAATCTTGGCATAGCACCTACAAGCTGTGTGACTTGGTTAAGCCACCTTGCCCATGTAAGCCTCATTTCTCTTCCTATTAGTGGGGGACAAAGATGGTATCTACCCCATAAAGTTGTTGCAAGGATAAGGTAAAACCTTTAAAGAACTTCTCATAGTGCTTGGAACATTGTAAGCACTCAAGAGATGTTAATTAATGATATTATTCAAGGTTTACGTAAATTCCCATGTAATGCATATTATACCAACAGTGAGGACTGTGGCAAACACTGGCTTCTATAAATTGTCAGTTTCATTTTCCTCATTTTTAAAAGTTGTGCATGTCAACCAAAAAAGACCTCCTTAATAAAGAAATTTAGAAAGTAAGGGCAAATATAAATCACTAGTAATTTGAGCACATTTCCTTCAAGGCATAGGTTGTTTTTCAAGTTAGTTTTGATTATGTATCCTTATTGCTTTTCTAAACATTATAAGCATGTTTCTTTTTTCATTGTAGTAAAATATATATGTAATAAATCATTTGTCATTTCAACATTCTTCACCTGTACAATTCAGTGACATTAGTTATGTTTATCATGTTGTTTAACCATGACCGTTATTCATTACCAAATAGCATGTTTCATCTTATAGCAGGGTCTTTAAAGGCACCTAATATTTCATTCAGTGGATGGGATATGCCGCAGTTTATTATTCTTTTATATATTATACTCCAGGAGTTCTAATATATGACTACTCCAAGTAATGGTGTAATTACTATATTTTATGAAAAATTTGGTTTATGTAATTAAGCATGTTTTTATTTATGATAAAATATTTAGGATATTTATTTAGGATAAATTTTTCAAAAGTGAAATTACAGCATTAAAGAATATAACCCTTTTTAAAGTTCTTGTTACATACTGCCAAGTTACTTTTCAAAGATTTTGTGCCAATTTCCACCATCCTCTGCAATTTCCAAAAATATCTGTTTCAACACAACCTCACTTCCGGTGCAAATTTTCATTAATAAAAACCGCTAAACTGTTAGGCAAAGAATGCTATCTAATTATTGTTTTAATGTTTCTTGGATAGCTAGTTAGATTGAATAAGTTTTCCCCCCGTTTGAAAGTCAATTATATTTTGTGTTAGTCCTCCTTATGTTCTTTCTACTATTTATTGGGGTATTAGTGAATTTTCTAATTTAAACTGTTTATATAATAAGGATATCAATAACTTTTTCATCTATGGAAGGGAACCATGTTAGCCTCCAAAACATACTTTGGTGCCCCAGACAGAGGCAGAATTTGGAGGCCAAACCAGAGAAAAGCACTTATGTGCTTATGGGCAACTGGAATTAAGTTAGTGTTAGGAAAGTTATATCAAACCATTAAAGATAAGAGGAAGTAGAGTGGGAAGGGTCAACTGCCTCCCACAGACTGAAGGTTCTTGTCATAGCTGATCTTGAACATGGCAAGCACCCGTGTTCTGATCTCTTTGGTCTTGGCACCATAGATGATAGGGTTGATCACAGGAGGCAGCAGCAAGTAGACATCACCCATGAGAACATGCACAATGGGATCCAGGCTGTTTCCAAAGCGATGCACCACTGAGAGGCCAATGAGTGGCACATAGAAGGCCAACACCACGCTGATGTGTGACACACACGTCCCAAAGGCCTTGGCCCGCTCTGACTTGGAAGGTAGCTGTAGAACTGTTCGTATAATCAGAAAATAGGACAAGGAAATGAACACAACATCCACGCCCATGACCAGCAGGATGGCAGTAAGACCATAGACCACATTGGGTGAAGTGTCTGCGTAGGCCAGCTTCATCACATCCTGGTGCACACAATAGGAGTGTGAGAGCATATTGGAGTGGCAGAAGGCCAGCCGCTTGATGAGCAGAGGCAGTGGTAAAAAGAAGAGGGATCCTCGGACCACGGCCACCACGCCAATCTGGGCTGTTACTGTATTGTTGAGCACCGCAGCATGGCGCAATGGGTGGCAGATAGCCACATAACGGTCAAAGGCCATGGCCAGCAGGATGGTGGACTCGATGGCTGAGAGAGCATGAATAAAGAACATTTGGGCAAGGCAGGCTTCAAAAGTAATTTCCTGGGAGTTGAACCAGAAGAAGGCAAGGATCTTGGGCATGGTGGATGTAGACAAGGCCAGGTCAATGGCTGCCAACATGCAGAGAAACTGATACATGGGTGCGTGTAAACTGCGTTCTGTCCTTACGATGAAGACTACGATGCAGTTTCCAAACACTGCCACGGCATACATTGCGAGCAGGGGGAAGCCGATCCAGAAATGGGCTTCCTCTAGTCCTGGGATACCAATAAGCACAAAGGTGGCATGTGTGAAGTTGCAGGAACTCATAGCTGGCACCGAGGAGGGGGGACTGGAGAGAGTGAGGTCACACTGGCAGCCTGCTAGCCTGCTAGGACATGGAGCACAATCAGAGGCCAGCCCTGGAAACCTGGGAACTGAGGGCATTTTAGCTTTTCCTATCTTCTCTGCTCCTACCCCCTAACCCGCACTGATGTCACTTAGTCTCTTCAATCAGCTTTGAGTAACTCTTCCAAAGGGAGAAGGTGAAAGGTCAAATTCATTTATCAAGCATTACTCTCAAGGACCATTTAGATTTTTTAAAAGGGAGCCTGGGGAGAACAATTCTTACCCCAAAATATGACCTTCCCAAGTATGCTCAAGACTCCTCATCCTGGCCAACACCTTTATTGTCTGGATACTGGGTAGTCCTTTTCTCAGATAGGTGTTAAGAGATATGCTATTGGAAATCCCTTCCAGCTAGGGCTGTGCTTTTTCTTTTTTAATTAATTCATTCGTAAGCATTTACTTATATCATCTGCTATGTTCAAGGCTATTTACTAGATGCTGCTGATACAGAGAGAAAAGACACCTCCCCTACCCTCCAGCTGTGCTGCCTAGTGGAGGCAATAAAGTAAACAAATTGTTAGAGTATTGTGACCAATGCTAGCATAAGGTGTGCATTTATTGCAGGCAGGGGGACAGGCATGATCAGGATGATCCTTCTGTTTAGTCTTGAAATATGTGTAGAAATTAGGCAAAGAAGGGAGTAAAGAGTGTTCCAAGAAGCAGGGAAGGGGGCTTTTTTTTTTTTTTTTTTTTGCAAATTTTCAAGATTCCAGGTCTCTAGGTCTAAGGCCAGTGAGGAGTAAATGAAACACAACAACAACTAAAAAAAACCAAAACCAAAACTGAAAAGAAAATAAATAAACAAAGAAAAAAAAAAAAAGAGAGACCGAAAGTAAAAATTTTCAGGAATAAAGGAAACTCTTTCAGAAACATAAAATGAATGTAGCTCCTTTGGACGAAATAAAGGTGCTGGCAGGACACAGGAACTCCAGCAGATCCTAGCTGCCTGGTATGGTCCTTGTGAAGGCTTTTTCCTCTGGTCCTAGCTGGTGGGATTCTCCACACCTGCACATTGCCTTCCAACGCCACTCCCATTCCTTCTAGAGAGCTTGGGCTGAGTCCTGACCTTGAGATAGGTAGTTTTACAATGATGTTTCTAGAGCTTTGCCTTTCCTGGAACCTCTGCCAACAAGCAATCCATGTCACGGGAGATATTTCTTTCCTGGAAGGCTGAAGTCACTTCACTCCAGCCTTCTGCCCACACCCAAACACAGGGACATTGACCTGATCAAACCCTTTCCCTGCTAGGCTCCCTAGATGCCCTAGTCTTTAGAACTAGTTATCTCTAAGGATCCAAGGGCTTGGCTTCTAGGAGCTGAGGCTCTTCTTCTTGGAAATAAACTCTGCAAAACTCTTCCTCAATGGTATTCGGGTTAATCTGTTAATTCCCACAGAATTCTTCCTTCTTTCTAGCATAGATCCAGGAAATGCCTTTCCTTAGACCTTAGTGGAGAGGGTTTGGGTGCCAGTGGTTTTAAAATATAATATGATAAAATAAGGACTAAGACATTTAACTTAGATTCTCCCCATTTTAGATAATCAAGGAGGACCAGAACCTGTGTTGTAAGGTCATAAAAGCCATGCCTCTGATCTATATTTATTTTACATTCTCAGAACTTGTGCAAAGACACAACAGCTACCTTCCTTGATGAATATCGAATACCAAATATGGCCCCCAGCAGCTCTCAGAACACAAAAAAAAATCCCTTTTCAGAGGCAGAGAATGCTATCCTTTAGGGAGATGCAATGCTTTCATCATAGATAACTTGGGAAAGGGATATTGAAATCCAATCAAGTCATGCTGGAGAGTGTGGAATTGAGCTAAGGAAACTTCTCTAAACTCAGATCTCTAGACCACTGTGTCCAAGAGAAATGGGGACAATAGTGAAGAAAAAGGCAGGCATGAGGGACTGTCAGTGGGAGCATGATGACGTATTTCCCCTTCCTCAAGGCTTTTTGCTCATACTACTGTAGGCAGCGCTGACAGATGCTGCACTTTACTGAATTTTCTCCTGGGACATCTTTTATGCTTTGCTGGCACCTGTACTTTCTTACTGAAGTCTAAGCCTTTGAAGCCATCATCTCATATCCCCAGGTACATATTCCAGAAGACCTCATGTCTCCCTCACCTGGTGTCTGCCTTTTGCCTAAGGTAGCCTTTGCCTAAACCGAATTTCAACTTCTCTTTGGGCCTGAAGGTGGCTGCTACATTCATTCTCACCTGCCTTCTGAACTGTTAGTGAAGACTGGGCCATTTCTTTCCTGCCCATGGAGGTATGAGTGGAACACAAAAGCTCCTGCCTGCCCTGCCATGAGAATGTGTGGGGTCCTCAAGACCCTTTATGATGGCAGGAGTCTTGGGCTGCCTAACTCCAGGTGAGGGCATATTTACCTGGGAATGGTGCATCCTACTGAGTGAGAGCAGCTGGAGCTGGCTCACCCTTTCAGGAACAGGTCTATTTACAATGCTGCCCAGAGGCCCTTGGGAACAGGCTATGGGAGTACTTACTAACTAAAGCACAGGGACTTGGAAGACAGGGGCATCTCTATATCTTCTTGTGTGTTGCTCCCATAGGCTTCCCACTGCCCCTGCCTAGGGGAAGAAATCAAAAAGGGCCTACAGCCTCCACAATCCTACCCACACTTACATATAGGGTTCTTGGCAATCTGTCCCCTCTCTTGAAAGCTAACCCAAGCTCTCAAGGTCAGCCACTCTGTGGTGAGTGCATTTTCTCATTAGCACTCTGCTCGTCAAAACAGGCAACTTGGGTGTATAGTTATGGCCCCTGGGATCTAGGAATTCGCATTCTTTATAAAACCAGGATGGGTATACAAAATGTAGCTTCATTATTCAAGATAGGGACATGTGTGCGCTAGATGCATTTGGAGAGAAATGAGTAGTAGCACCTCTTGCCTGTACTCTGACACTTCTCTGTATCTGTTCTCAGCTTTTCTTTCTTTTAAAAAAAATCTTAAAAGTAGAAAAGCCACTCTTTATTGCACCTGTGTTACAGATAAAGGCCAAATTAGATAAAAGACCTTAGCTTTAATTCATATGGTTAATTAGTAATATACTGTTTGAGAAACTAGATATTATGATTCTTTATTCATTTAACAAATATTTATGGAAGGCCTACAAGGTAATAAGCAAGGTAGACAAAAAAAATCCCCACTTTCTTGGAGTTTATATTCTGTTGAAGGGGACAGACAATAAATAGAGTTAATATGTAAACTAAATAGGATTATCAGGAGAAAAAAATAAAGGGCAGAAGGAAACAGATATGAACTATCAGCGGACAGTAGAAATTTTAGATAGGGTTGCTAGGGAAGGCCTTATATAATAGAGATATTTGAGGACAGGCTGGAAGGGAATGAGGAATATATCCATGCAGATATTTGGGGAAGAATATTCCAGGAAGAAGGAACAGAAATTACAATGTCCCTAAGCCCGGTGTATGTCTGTGGATTTAGAACAACTAAAGGCCAATATGCCTGAACAGAAAGAACATGGGGGTGAGTAGTAGGGAGATAGAATCAGAGAGATAATGGGGAACCAGATCATGCAGCATCTCATAGGACTTACAAGCCATTTAAGGACTTTGGCTTGGACTCTGAGCTGAGGCTCTATAGGGTGTTTGAAGTAGAGGAGAGACATGATCTAATGTACCTACAAGGACTGTTAATTCTATCAGACTAGTCTTCTCTGGAGCCTTGGTGGTGCAGTGGTTAAGAGTTTGGCTGCTATCTAAAATGTTGGCATGTGAATCCACCAGCTGCTCCTTGGAACCCTATGGGGCAGTTATACTTTGTCCTATAGGGTTGATATGAGTTGGAATCGACTTGATGGCAATGGCTTTGGTTTTGGTTTGGTCTTCTCTGACTCGCCTCAGGCTTGTTTACACGTCTGTGCTGCTGCCCAGGTTCCTTCTCTCATTTTTCACTTTTACCTGTGTTGTTCCTTCTTTCATTTTCCCTTTCACTCATGTTTTTGCTTCTTTCATTTTTCCCTTTCTATGACTTCCCCATACTTCAAGCCTCTATGACCTAGCTTAAGCATCAGCTTCTCTAAGATTTTCCCCAGTACCTGTAGATGCTGTGGTTGCTCTCTTCCAATGATATGTACCCCACATCATAAGTCATTGGGACTGTCTTTATATTTTATTCAGTATTTATTCTTCTCTATCTTCTGTCCTTTCTAAGTGTGCTCCACTTACCTTGTCATTGTTACTGTAATATCTGAAAACAAGGACAGAACCTCTTTCTTATCAGTTAGCCACCAAGTGTTTATTAGGCACCTACATCTGGCAACCGAGTTCATTCATTCATTCATGCAATAAACATATCCAGTGAGAGTTTTTGTGAGCATTGTGCTGAGTGTAGGGATTACAGAGGTAAATAATACAGAGTTCTTGTCCTGAAGGTGCTCACAGAAATCTACACAAAAAATCTTGAAATAATATGGATAAGCAGTAAAAAAAAAAATAAATGGCCGGGATTTTTATGAGAACTCAAAAGAGTGACTTTTATCTAGTCAGAGAATGGATCCAAGAAGAGAGCATTTCAGTGGAGAGAAAGTCATGGAGTCAAGAAACAGAAATCTCTGTGGGGTGACTATTAGCAGTGTGTTGTGGCTGGAGCATAGAGTGCAACACAGGAAGAAAGAGAGAGATTGGAGAGGTGAGCAGATGTGAGCTGATGACAGCCATGAATGTAAGGACTTTATCTTGTTGGATTGGGAGGATGTTAAGTGTTTTTTAGCAGGGGCATCATAACCCAACATTCTATTTAGATAGATATTCTGGAAGCTATTGGGAGCGTAAATTTGAGGAGGTAAGATTGGATATGGCTATGAACTTAATCATGTAAGATATAAACTTAAAGGTGCATAACTCTTCATCATCCCTCACATACGGTTCTTCAACTAGTTCTATTTTTTCTTCTAAATACCTCTTGAATGTTTCTTTCATTTCCA